TGATGCTGCTTGGAGCGCATTACCATATTCTCCGCCTTGAGCATGGACATCCGCTTCACAGTCGAGGAGCATCTGCACCACCTTCTCGTGACCACCTGCTGATGCTGCTTGGAGCGCATTGCTATATTGTCCTCCTTGAGCGTTGACATCCGCTCCACGCTCGAGGAGCATCTGCACCACCTTCTCGTGACCACCCTCTGATGCTGCTTGGAGCGCATTGCCGTGTTCTCCTCCTTGAGCGTTGACATCCGCTCCACGCTCGAGGAGTGTCTGCACCACCTTCGCGTGACCATACTCACTTGCCCAAATTAACGCTGTCTGGCCCTTCCTGTCCGATTCGTCGATATCGTAATCTTCGTTCCGCTGTAACGTCAATTCCAGTATATTTTCATGGCCCAGCAGTCCCCCAAGTCGTATTGGACTCATCTTCGGAAGGAAGTCATATGGACTTATTGCCTGCCAAAATATTGGGAACCAGATATTGTACAACCTGCTGTTGACCTGATAAAACTCAAGAATCCGAAATCCTGCCAAATCATCGTGAGGTAAGTATGCTTCACGTAGATGAGACGGCCAGTGTTCTGCTGAATAGGCCAAAAAACTTTCAATAGGATTGCCGGTGCTTAGGACATCGTTGAGTACCACCCAGGGTCGTAATTTCTGAGTCAAGGAATCTGCTGTTGCTTCAATGTCGTTAAAGGACAGAAATTTCACGCATATGTGAGCCATCTCTCTCTCAATTCCACGCGGATCCAGGCAACTCTTCCACCCAGATAGGAAGGTAGTGCAGCCGCTCTCACTGACCAAAAACTCCTTAGCCGTCTGGTGGATTAGGTATATTCTCGCGTGGTTAATGAAGACGAAGAGACCACACCAGTCACAAATATTATTCTCCAGCCTGCTAGGGTCGAGTTTGGCCTGGTGTAGGGACTTAGGGTGTGCTGACGTGGCTATTCCGAGAGCGATGGCTATCTCTTCGACATGGAGTGGCCGCCGCGCCCCAACCACAATCTGAAGGATCTTTTTCACATTGCCTCTCTGCTCCTGATCGACCCGACTCAAAATTTTCTCGTATGCGTCTTCCACACTGGACGGTAGTGACTTGATCGATACTTCCTCGGGTCGCAAACTGTTGCGGTAAGTCCGATGTATACTCTCAATCGCGAGATAAAGCCATAAGTACGTGCGATGCTCCATCTCCAGGAGTCGAGTCTCCAGTCGGTCCTTTATGTCGTCATCCAATTTTAAGTCGGTCGCGAGTTTTCCCACTCGCATTCGGATGACCAAGTCAATTTCTTGGCGGATATAGTCGTTCTCCTCTTCACCCCGTAGTCGGATGGTAGGGAGATCGTGCAGCGTCTTCTGGAACTCCGCCTGGATGTCATCATAGGGCCGACTAGTCACGAGAAATTTCAGTCGGCCTCGCCGTGTCGTAGACGAAGAGGCCGATGTCTGGGTGTGAAACCGGGATAGCATCTCAATCAACCACCGTCGGTCCGAGAGTCGACATTCGTCCAGTGCATCTAGAACGCACGTCACATCCAGAGCCTGGTCATCCCTCGCTACTGCGAGCAACAAGCGCCAAAGCTCCGCCAGCTCCCTCACCAATTTATCGCCAATCTTCTCCCATACCGGGATCGCATGTTGAATAAGCTCAGGGTGGCGCGTGAACAGTTGATGGAGGAGGGCGCAAAGAGCAGTGGCCACGTTATCCTGCTCTTCGTTGTCCTTGAAAAAGAAGTAGCACACAGTATGCTGATCAGTATGTCGAAGTTCATTGTCGATGATCGATCTGGCGAGGACCGACTTGCCGCAGCCCGGATCCGCCGAGATCCAGAGGAGGTCATCATGAGCCTTTCTGAGCCATTGAAGATACTGAGAGTGAGACAGCACCCACTGACAAGTGCCAGCTACTCGCTCAGGGTTAAGATCCTTCTGTGCCTCATACGGACCGATTTTGAATGTCTGGTGGCATTGATGGTGTTTCTCGCTCTCATATTGGGTTTGATTCTGCTGGGTCTGTGCTTTGGTGGCCTCCAGCTGCGCGTTCGAGGTATGGCGGATTTCATCAAGCAAACCTTGATGTAACGTGGTCAGAATCTCTTCGGCTCAGCGGCAGAACGCAAATAAGACAGAACAGCTGGTGTTAAAGGCCTCAGACAGAGTCATCGCTCTAAAACCATAAATTTGGAGCAGGGATTGGAACTTTATCATTCTGCGACAGGCTTCCTCCCACCTGGACACCTTCACTGCCAGAAACGTTGCTGCGGCCCTCACTCACCTAATACGTCTTTGATAGGCTGTTCTTGGCTAGCCTGCGCTGGAGATATATATTGAAGAAATTCTTTGGCGTATGCCGCAGCAGTGATCGCAGCATATGGGTGCCACGCATCGTTCTTGTGTAAATCGGCGTAATCGCAAATGCCGCGGATCACCAGACAGGGAAACGCGTTCATCAGTCCTGCCGCCTCCATTTCCACACAGAAGGCATTAAATTCATCCCGCAGTCGATCGCGCACTGCTGCATCCTTCACCACCTGGTTTCCTGACGCAATGATTCCATAATGAACCACCGGCTTGTTATTTTTCCGTCGCTTTCGCTTGGCGTGGAGTCCTTCGCAGTCGCCTGCCGGACTTTCAATATCCCTATGACAGACACCGCAGTAGAAGCAATCGGACTCGCTCGGAAGAGTGAAGCCCGTCTCTTCCATCATGGGGTTTCGTTCGATCGCTTCGGTGATATAATCCGACACCTTGCTGGGGCGCATGCCATGTCGTGCCCGGAGTTGAGCAAGGGTTTGCAATAGGAGAGGAGGCGGCTGATTGAGTAGGCCTTTGACCACAAATTTCCCGCTGTCCTCAGCTTTGCCCTTGTCATATTGCACCACCCCTCCCCAAGTTTTCTCTGGTTTGCTCACCACAATGTCCCCTAAGCGAATATCGATTCCATTGGAGAGGTCGGGGATGCCACCGCCAATGCCCACCATCAGTCCGACTCGGAGCGCAGGGAACGTCCTCGCCATGTCCTTGGCCACATTGGCCGCAGGCACTAGTCCATCCACCCCCTCTGGCATACAAGCAATCACCACATTGTGCTGGTGGATGCGGCCCAACACATAACTGTTGTGGTCTTGTGGATCTTGTCCTGCTATCATCTCATGTTCTTCATCCAGCATGGCCATGGCGGCGGTCAATTCTATGTTCAGCGCGCATATCCAGCCAACGTGGTAGTCTTGAACGGTGCTGCTGGGCATCATGAGGGGAGTCGTAAGGCGCAGGTGCGGCGGCCACAGGTAGAATCGGGCTGGGATTTCGTTGGACAGTTAATTTCCGAGCATTAAGAGGCCGATGCGGCAGTGCTGCAGGACGATACTGAGCAAGCGTGCGAAGGTCTGTCCAAGATCAGAGAGAGACTTTGCGAGGACAGAGAGAGGGAGGAGAAGCGGCTGAGGATAGATACCGAGCCTCAACAAGCGATAATCAGGCAGGGGATGGTCCAGCACGAGACATCGGCATGGCTGTATCAGTACATCGACCAACTGAGAAACAAGTGGACGTCGGGCTGAGACTGCATTAGACGAGGGAGATTGTCGAGAGAGTACGAGGGACAATGAAGAATGCTGGGCGGCGGCAACATGTTTTTCAGGTCGGGAATGTAGACCACGCTCCAGACTGCAGCGTACAGTGCGAGTGTTGAAGCGACAGCGACATCTGGTGCGCTTTGCCAGTGGCCGAGCTGAATGGCCGCACGGCGCTTGAAGTTGAGGGGTTGCGAAGTCACAGGTAGGACAGTCAATCAGAGGGCAGCGCGGGAACCCCCTCGTCTTTAAAGGCGGCAGGAGGGGAATTGCACGTGGTTGTGGCTGGTGAGGAGTTTGTGGCGTTTTGTGCGTATTTGTGGCTGCCGTGTTACTGCAGCTTTACGCACGGCCGTACTCGGGTCGGTCCTCGGCTGTTTGTCGGTATGGGTGGAAGTACCAGACAAGGCGCTTGGCCACAGAAAACATCAACACCGATCGTGGATAGCATCAGCTGCGAGTGAGATAATTCTTGGGAAGGTATACATGGCCGATTACAATATCTGTACTATCTCGAAATCGTGCAAGGGCTGGTGTTGACGTCTACAAGGCACTGAATCTGTTTTGGCTCGTACTTGGAAGGCTATGGAAACCTGGGGTTGAAAATCCCAAATCCTGGTATTTATGAATGAGACTGGTCATAACTGTAGGATGATGGCTACCAAATAAGGAAGTTCTCATAGATAGTCGATCAAATCGATGCCTGGAGTGTAGTGCGTGTTGGTAATCAAAGTACCTGGCTTTTATTCCACCACGCAGGGCGTTTCACTGCGCCGGGATGTCGATTACTAATCACACTTAGACGCTTCGTAACCGAGCGGGAATAGACAAGCCTCGACGTCGATATGATCCATGGATTGGATCCGATGACGGCGGCCTTTCATCGGATTCGATCTATGAACCACTTAAACAGACCACTACTCGCGCTCGGGATATATCGTAACCGAGCGTGAACGACAAGCCTCGATGTCGAGATGATCCATAGATTGGATCCGATGGGTCGTAGTATTTCATCGGATCCAGTCTATGAACCACCGAGACAGGCTCTACTAATCGCACTCGAGACGCTTCGTAACCGAGAGTGAACGACAAGCTATTGGACGACAAGAGGTCTTCATGGGCGACGACGTTATAGATGGTTGCTCTGTGCAACAGTGTAGCATTCGTGTGTCTATAAAAGGAGCCTCAACACCTCGATAGGTAGATAGAGAACAGAGCGCTCCTTCATTTCAAGTTGCACGAGAAGTTTGACAGTCGCTCATTATCCTTAGATAGTCAGATAGACAAGTCTCCATAGCCCAATGTGCATGCACTCCTGTATTCATTCTCTCAACATCTACTTATCGAGGTGTTAAGGCTCCTTTTATAGACACACGAATACTACATCGTTGCACAGAGCAACCATCTGTAACGTCGTCGCCTATAGAGACCTCTCGTCTCTATCCAACAATGTGCCTCCCCGAGGGCTCCCACTCGTGGTTCATAAATTGGATCCGATGAAGTCTCCCCGTTGCCCATCGGATCCAGTCTATAGACCACCCAGAGAAGCTCTACTAATTACACTCGAGATGTCTCGTAACCGAGCGGAACAGACAAGCCTCGACGTCGAGATGATTCATGGATTGGATCCGATAAGTCGTGGTATTTCATCGGATCCAATCTGTGAACCACTCAGAGAAGCTGTACTAATCACACTTAAACGCTTCGTAACCGAGCGGGAATAGACAAGCCTCGACGTCGATATGATCCATGGATTGGATCCGATGACGGCGGCCTTTCATCGAATCCGATCTGTGAACTACTTAGACAGACCACTACTCGCGCTCGAGATGTATCGTAACCGAGCGTGAACGACAAGCCTCGATGTCGAGATGATCCATAGATTGGATCCGATGGGTCGTAGTATTTCATCGGATCCAGTCTGTGAACCACCCAGACAGGCTCTACTAATCGCACTCGAGACGCTTCGTAACCGAGAGTAAACGATAAGCCTGGACGCCGAGATGATCCATAGATTGGATCCGATGGTTCGTGGTATTTCATCGGTTCCAATCTATGAACCACCCAGAGAAGCTCTATGTCATGACACAACCTGGAATCCCCTCGAACGGTCTTGGCAGGCCCACTGTAGCTGTCGAATAGCCTCGTGTGCCTGCTCATAGCCTCGTGCGCCTGCGTGGTAGCCTTGTAGCATGACTGTATCGCTAGCTATAAGTATCTAGGATGGGTTTGCATTGCTTTCACGCTCTTTGTCTCTCGTCTTGTACTTTATAGTACATTGAATAATAATATGTCGAACTTCGTGGATTGGAAGAGTGCTCTGTTTTTTATCAAGTTAAGGTCCTGCCTCGCATGTTTATATAGACAAAGATTGTCGCCATCTTTCGGTGTCTTCGTGTTCAGCTCGTAGACGAAACCCTTGTCTAGCTGAACATTCATTGCCACGCTGAAATCGTTGTCATATATTGTCTCACAGTTCAATAGAATTGCTTATAGTATGCATATAGTTCGGAATGATAACTCGACTACCACACAAAGTCTTTAGTATCCTTATCTTTCCCCCCGGTATTTTAAGGATATGGAATTATCCAGTGATTTCGAATGAATAACTTTTTGAGCTCTTATCGCTATATTCGAGCACGAACTTTACCTCGAGCCGCCGTAACGATATTCGATATAGCTTGTCATCTTGTTCTTCTACTCTCACAACCATAAAAAGAAAACATCAATGCTCTTTTCCGCAAGTCGATGGCTATACACGAGCTGAGGCGGCTGAAAGTTCTTCAAGGAATGACGACATTAACCACGAGAGCGAAATCAGTGACCTTCCGATTATTCTAGGCCTGTATCCTTCACTTCTCCTATCTGTTGAGATAAACTTGTCCAGTATCCGCTAGTACGCTCTAGATCGTCTTACCCGAGATCTCTTTGCTTTAGACCGTGTTATGCGTCCACTTCTTTGGCCTTCTTCGACTTCTTCGACTTTCTCCTCTCCCTCGTTATCGTCTTTCCTTTTATTATCTCCTTCCCTTTCACCGCCCCCTTTCTCTTCTTCGGCTCTCTCTGCTCTTTCGTACCTAATCCAGATATCTGTGCTAACCTCCGAGAAAGGAATATAACGCTCTTGGTGTCTAGGCCACGGTGAATTAGGTGGGTGTTGTATGACGCCGCGCTTATTTGGGGTGATCCAGAGGAATTCTAATTTAATATTAAACGTCAATAGTTGTTGCTCGGCCCACTGGCGGTATTCATGCAAGAATCCTAGGTAAGAATTCGAGTGATTTTTGGCCGCTGTGATCTGGAGGGGGAAGAGGAGTAATGTTGGCTTTTCCCCTTTTGCGGTTCTTTTAAAGTTCTTGATGAAGACAATCATTCCATCTATCGTCTTGTAATTGGTCTGTCGAGGTCGATAAAGTACGCGTTCATCTTGGATGTCGAACTGAATATCCTTTTGTTGCGTGAAGAATCTTAACTTCATCGGTTTGTCCCAGCCTTTGCAAATCCTTAAGCCTGTTGACCGGATGGATGTGAGGATGGCGTATTCCATCATATATCCGACGACACATCGATTGTGGACGAAGTCACTCAATGAAGCCAGAAACCCGGTGTCGATGAAAGTAGTATCCAACTCGAAAAGCTGATTTGTGACAGCGTCACGAACTAAACCGCAGGTATATCTTCCAATCTTGTCGTTGCGCTGATAAAAGTACCGATGGTCGATCAGTTCGACGTGTGCCCCCCATCCAGGTGGTACACGCTCGTTACAAATGCAAGCCCTCACGAAGGCGCAATACCTGAAAAGTCAGAAATGTCCTGGGCAATCGAATCAGTCGAACATACCCCTTCCAATCAAAATTCCCAACAGTAGACCTGATTCGCTGCACAAAATGCACAGAATCATCATAGATTTGGTTAAATTTGGGGGCTGTCAAATCGACCTCCCCATTCTTTACGAATTGCTTCAGGAGTAATGGGATGCAGCCCGTAAAGTCTTCAACCTTGTCCCGGGTATACCCTCTCAACTTAATACCTTTATGCTGCCTCCACCACTGCTTCATTTCCGTCTAAGCGAGTTAGGAACCTCGTTGTGACACGAATTTGACACCACTTACCTTAGTGAAACCACCATAGACGCGTACCACCCAGTTATAGGTCTGATGTTTAAACTCTTCAAGGTCGTCCGTAGAATTTGCAGAGGAACTGAGGATTGTTTTATGCGAAGAGGTGAATCTGATAACCCATCGACGCAGCTGTCGAGCCACCTCCCTGTCTCCAAAGCCATCGCTCTTGAAAGCATTCATCTGATCAACGACAAATATGACGTTTTCTTGATACTCGAAGAATTTCTCGATCTGGTCCTGAGTGCGTAGGGCCATAATCTTCTTCTGGGTGGTGAAATCGTCGGCCCAAGCGAACAGCATTGCCTTTTTGACGTAGGAAACAGGGTCATCGAGCAGGCATCGGCAATCCGGTAGATAGACGACTCGCTCATCTTGAGCAGCAAAGTAGCAGACAAGGGCGGCTAGAAGGTGAGACTTCCCAAAGCCCTGGGTTCCATAGAGCCAACATCTTCGGTAAACCTGACTCTTTCGCACTTCCTTTACCTCGTCGAGGAAGTCTTTGAACATCGTTCTCCCCATATATAGCCACTTTCCTTTAGCTATATTGCGCTCATTAAATCGTTCTGGCATACTATCGATAAATGGGAAGTCGAGCGTGTGATTTAATGTGGGGTCGGAAAGTTTATCGATAGCTCCAGGAAGAGGATCGATAGAATCGGAGTGCTGGTCAGGAGAGTCGTTCATCTGAGTAATTATATCCTTAACGGCCTTTCTTCGCTTATTGGCTTCAGTGGCTAATTGTATGACTTCCTCTTCATCTTTATATTTTTGACGTGTTTTGGACGAAGTGGGCGACTCGTCAGATAAATCTATTTCATCCCCTGTAACGACATTAGCTAACGATCATAAAGTACATTAAAGGCGTAATTACCTTTCCTCTTTTGGCCGGCTGCTTGGTTCGGTTGATCGCCTTGACACTGTTAGTTTATGTTTGAGTTATATCCATAGTTTAATCTTACTCTGTTTGCTGACTTTTCTTGCAAGAGAAGCGAGAGCCCTATAGACTCCAAAGGGTAGACCAATTTCTCTAAAGAAGTCTAGATCCTCGGCATAATCCAAGAAGGTAGAGCCATCGATTTCTGCCGCTTCGAATGTCGAAACGTTCTTGTCATTGGCGAAAATGTTCGGTTTTCTATTCTTGATCCATTCGAGCAATTGCTTATGGTTCCAACTTTCCATCTCTTGGATTGGAGGGAATCCCTTCGAGCCTTGCCCAGCTTCCTGACTAGAAGCGTTCATTATGATCGACGTGAAGGAGGGTTAAACGAGGGAGAGGTGTGATGTGACGACTCGCAGGTAGGTTGTGGAGAGTTCAAACTCGCCCAAGATAAGCGCACACGAACTGCCGTGGGATAGAGGGTCGCGAAGTTGGAGGTAGGGTCTTCGATCTGGTTATGAGGGTAGAGAGAGCAACAGTGTAGTATACACGGTAGAGAACTTGTCGGTGGCAACGGGGATGATGGATTGATTGATGGGGAGAAGATGGAGGGATTGTTTAAGTAGAAAGGTTGAGAGTGCAAGCTGCCCTAGGTGTCACTGCTTGCGGCGACACGCCAAGCCAGCGTTGCCTATTCTGGCTAATAACGGCTACTCAGGGAATACATCGGGAGAGTGATAAACCATAACGACTCGCGTATCACAGCGATATTGCTAAACGCTATAATAAACTGTAGAGTCTAGAGAAGAGATATGTTGTTATTCTATCTAAACAAGAGAGCAAGACTGAATAAGTAGAAAAGGTGCAAGTTGCGATATTGTTAAACCAAATTCCTCACGTGGCAATACTAAGCCACATATCACGTGATTGAAAACAAACACCACTAACTCCGGTCCCACCCGGTCGTATACGATACTAGGGGTCGCGGACAGGATATTCCGCGGGGGGTGAAAAGCGTAGCTTTGTCTTTTGGGGGCAAGCCCCTAAACCCCCAGGCTCGCTGCGCTCGAGAGATCACGTGATCGAGCCGGCCACATTGGGCTTGGCAACTCTTGGCGGCGCACACATGCGGCCGTACCGTGATTGCGACCCCTCGGGATCCGGAAAATCTATAATCCGACGACTCTGGCGCCATCGGATCGCCCTCGTGTCACGTGATTAGCCAAGCCTATGGAAAATCTATAATCCGAGGATTACGTAATCCTGTGGTTGACCTCATCGGATCCAATCCACGGCCCACCCAGGAATGGGTAGAGCGCGGCCGTCGCCCGGAAAATCTATAATCCAACACCCAGTCACGTGCTCTAATTAGCCAACTCCATCGGATCCAGTCCACGGCCCATCCAGGAGGGGTGGAATGCCGCCGTAGCCCGGAAAATCTATAATCCGACACCCAATCACGTGCTCTAGTTGGCTGACCCCATCGGATCCAATCCACGGCCCACCCAGGAATGGGTAGAATGCCGCCTTTGCCTGCCAGACCTCCCTGATCGGATGTGATTTTACGGAGGACTTGTTCTATTTCGAAGGGGTCCAAGGGACCGTCAGACTATATACTTTCGAAGCGTGTACGAAGCGTACAACACTTCCGAAGGTCTTTACAAGCCTTGGCGTCGCCACATATCACACGGATCCAGTCTATGGATCACGTGTGGACGATGTTGATCACGGTGCCCTATGCCGTACGATATCCTCCATCGGATCCAGTCTATGGACCGTGTGTAGACGATGTTGATCACGGTGTCCTGTGCCGTACGATTCATGGCCCATGAAGTAGACGACGGTATACCCAATTAGGAAAGCCGACAACGATATCCGCGATATATCTAGCAAATATCGATACATGGGGCTTAGATATCGACGATGAGATCGGCATCTGCTATAACAACTGATTCGTTCTCCATATGTGGTCTAAGTTCCGGTCTTGGGACGTGGCAGTATTTGCCCTTTTGAAGTGATCCAAGTCAAAAGGCCCCTCAAACAACAACCCGTCTAACAGTGCTGCACACTCGCGAGTGGCGACCCCTAGTACTCGTACTCGCGAGTGGTCACTCGCAATATCTACTCGCGTCGCATACACCTTCCAGATTGAGTAAATTGTTAGCATCGTTCTCGTCATCGTCCTCGTCTTCATACTCCATGGTGTTAGACAACGACGCAGCATCGACTACGAGAGCTGCAACAGCGTCGCAGCTCTCAGCTTAAGCTCGAGGCCAGAGCTCCGCAACCCCCTCACCGCGAAACCGACGCTCCATAAACCCTTCGAACCAAACCCGCCTTCTAACCACGCCCGTATTCGCCCGCTTAGGTGCGAGTGCCCCTCCCCAGAAACCACAAGAACGATGGCGACCGTGGCAACGCGAGCTCCAGTAACACCGACAAGAGAGAACGAAGACACCGTCGAGGTGCCGCCCGCCCCGATGACACGTCTAGGCGTACCACGAGCGAATGACGGTAGAATAGCACGGTCAATGGTAGAAAGCAGAAGAGCCCGAATCGAAGAACAGCCCGTCGATAAAGAGAAGAAGAGCAAGATCAGCGAACAATTGAGCCTAATCCTCCAGATCGTGCGAGACCTGGCGGAACAACAAAATATAGTGGCCGGTCGCCTAGAAGCTCTAGAACGACGACAGAATACGGCAGACACAAAATTCGAAGCCCTCGCTCGCGCCTCGGACACAAGGCTCGAGGCCTCCGCCCGCATTACAAACGAACGTCTAGAGGCGCTATCTAAGTCCCTCGGTCAAATCACCGCGAACGTCGCCACCGTAGCTAGCTATGCCGACGCCGTGAAGTCTGGACTGCCAGCCCCGGCTACGGAAACGACAAGCAAAGGCACACCGATCACCCAGATTTGCTCCATTAACCCGTCTAGCTCGGCATCACGACAAGGCACGACCTCCAGTCCGCACGTGGTTATCGACTTCTCGACGGCAGGGGATAGCAGCATTACCAACGAGAAACCAGGCACGGTCCGAAAGCGAATCGACGACGCGCTGCAAAGTCAAGAGGCAACCAAGGAAATTCGATGCTGGGGCATTAGTCGCAACCCTCGAGACAGCCACAAATTCAAAGTGTTCCTTAAAGACGAGACGGCAGTGCAGACTATACGCCGCAACGATAGCTGGTTAACTAATAATCTTCGAGGAGCGCGTCTACAAGCCGAGCAATGGTATCCCATACGAGTGGACAGCGTGTACAAGGGGGCCATCCTCAAGGACAGTCAATCGAACGAAGTAAAAGAAGAGGCAGCATATATGGTTGGCGAAGAGAACGGAGTACGAGTGCATAAGATCCAATGGCTTAGTAGACCGAACGCAGACAAAATCCACGGATCGATGGTGCTATATCTAGCACGTCGAGAGGATGCCGAGAAGCTTCTGCGGGAAGTGCGAGTCGATATCGACGGCGAGACAGCTTTTGCGAGACCCTACGAACGACGAATAGGCCCAACCCGATGCTTCAAATGCCACCAATTCAATCACGTAGTGGCCAATTGCCCGTCCCCACAACCGATATGCAGCCGCTGCGCCGAGATAGGCCACACAAACCGCAAGTGTACCAATAACCGAGTTAAGTGTGCGTCGTGTGGCGGACCACATTCGACGTTCGATCGAGGCTGCCGGGCGTATAAGCTGGAGTGCGAGAAGGTCGCATCCCTTCGAACATGAGGAAACACCTTCGAATCCTACAGGCGAACCTAAGGAAAATGCCCCAGGCACAGCAGAGCCTACTCAACGACGAAGAATTGAGCGACTTCGGACTACTTATGATCCAAGAACCCCACTGCTTTCGAATTAACCATCGAGACCCAGTCAGCCCGATATACCACCCGTACTGGACAGCGTATACGCCCACAACCCACGACGAAGAGAGCCAATGGCCATTTCGCAGTATGATTTGGGCACATCGAAACCTAGCCGTTAAGCCCATCCCCATCTCGTCATCCGACATTACCGCGGTGGTAGCAGAACTAGAAAGCCGTCGTATTGTAGTCATCTCGATCTACGTACCAAAGAGAAACGACCGCGACGACGACGATCTGATGAGCCGCCTAGATCTGGTCAGACAGGCCATCCACCAAGCAAGACAACAATACAGTCCACAACCGGTCGAGGTGATAATAGGGGGGGACTTTAATCGACACGACCAGCTATGGGGAGGCGACGCAGTGGGTACGAGCACTCGACAAGGAGAGGGCGAGCCGATTATTGAGCTTATGCAAGAATTCGAACTCGACAGCCTCCTGCCACGAGGAACAGTTACATTCGAATCCCCGATGGGTGACAGCACGATCGACCTAGCCCTAGCATCGAGCGCGTTGGCCGAAGATCGCGTTCAGTGCGAGGTCTACCCAACTGAGCACGGCTCAGACCATCGAGCAATCCGGACAAGCTTCGACATTCAGCAACCCGAACAGGTAATGGCTCCACGCCTTCTTTTCAAGCACGCACCTTGGGACCGTATTCGCGTCTCGGTCAGCCAAGAGCTGCAAGGAATGCCGATGGAGATCGAAGATCTGGACACCTACACCGACGAATTCTGCGGGGTCGTAAAGTCCGTAATTGAGCGATTAACGCCTCGAACTAGACCCTCGCCCTACACTAAGCGGTGGTGGACGGCAGATCTAACCCAGCTTCGACGCGACTACACATACTGGAGAAACCAAGCTCGCGCACATCGACGCTATGGGAGACGGGATGCACAGCTCGAAGCTCGAGCACAAATGGTCAAGAAGGAATTCCACAAGAGCATGCGAGTACAGAAAAAGCATCACTGGGAGACGTTCCTCGAGGACTGTCATGACACAACCTAGAAGCCCCTCGAACGGTCTTGGCAGGCCCACTGTGGCTGTCGCATAGCCTCGTGTGTCTACTTATAGCCTCGTGTGTCTACTTATAGCCTCGTGTGCCTGTCGATAGCCTTGTGTGCCTGCGTGATAGCCTTGCGGTATGACTGCACCGCTGGCCATAAGTATCTGGGATAGCATCGCACTGCTTTCGTGTTCTTTGTCTCTCGTCTTGTACTTTATAGTGCATTGGACAGTAATATCGTTGTCGAACCTCCACTCTCGCTCCCTCGTACGTCCCCACCCTGACACCCCCCATCGCCTATCGGATCCAGTCTGTGGACCACCCAGAGGAGCTCTACTAATCACACTCGACAGGCTTCGTAACCGACGCGTGAACGACAAGCCTCGACGTTAAGATGATCCATGGATCAAATCCGATGGGTCGTGGAACTTTATCGGATCCAATCCGTGGACCACCCAGACAAGCCCTACTGATTACACTCGATATAGTTCATGAATCCGATTCGATGAAACACCACTGTCATTAGATCTAATCCGTGAACCATGTGGCTTCGAGGGCGATCCCTCTCGACATCGACATAATTCATAGTCCACCCAAACAGGTTATAATATCGAATCCAGTTCATAAACCACCTTTATAGAACCTGCCTTCTTCTTGTCCTCTTTAATATAACCTCGAATTGAAACACTAGTAGAGACAAGATTTAATGGAAATGATTTCCTGTCGACTTCATGATACTGAAAATTTTATTGAACCTAACGTAGTCGATGTAGAGCTCGCTTTCGGATAAATGAAGAAGACGCTGTTCCAGTTGCACCACAGTGTTTAGCATCTTTATCTTTCCGCATAAATCCGGTATTTTGAGGATATGGAATCATCCAGTGATTTCGAATGAATAACTTTTTGAGCTCTTATCGCCATATTCGAGCACGGGCTTTACCTCGAGCCGCCGTAACGGCATTCGATATGGCTTACCATCTCGTCCTTCTACTCCCACAACCGTGAAAACAAAACATCAATGCTCTTCTCCGCGAGTCGATGGCTATGCGCGGGCTGAGTCGGCCGAAATCCTTTAAGGGATGACGACATTGACCACGAAAGTGAAATCAGTGACCTTCCGATCATTTCTGCATCCTTCACTTCTCCCATCTGCTGCGATGAACTTGGCCAACAGCGTCCAGCATCCGCTAGCGCGTCCTAGATCGCCTTTCCCTATATGGCTTTGCTTTAGACCGTGCTATGCGTCCCACTTCTTTGGTCTTCTTCGACTTCTTTCTCGGCTTTCTCCTCTTCCTCTTTATCGTCTCCTTTCTCTTCTTTAGCTTCCTCTACTTCTTCTTGGTACTTAATCCAGATATCCGTGCTAACCTCCGAGAAAGGAATACAACGCTCTTTATGTCTAGGCCACGGTGAATAGGCCGGACGTTGTTTGACGTCGCGCTTATTTGGCGTAATCCAGAGGAATTCTAGTTCAATATCAAACGTCAATAGTTGTTGGTCGGCCCACTGGCGGTATTCATCCAAGAATCTCTGATGTGGCTTTAAGTGATTTTGGGCCACTGTGATCTGGAGAGGGAAGAGGAATAATTTCGGCTTTTCCCCTTTAGCGGTTCTTTTGGGGATCTTGACGAAGCCAATCATTCCATCTATCGTCTCGTAATTGATCTGTCGAGGGCGATAAAGTACCGGCTGATCGCGGATATCGAACTGAATATCGCGTTGACTCGTAAAGAAGCGGAAGTTCATACCTTCGTTACCCGCCCCGCAAGCCTTCAAACCTTGTGACCGAATGGATGCGAGGACGGCGTATTCCATCATAAACCCGACGACAGGTCGATTGTCAATAAAATCGCTCAATGAAGTCAGAAAGTTGATCTTGATAAACTTAGTATCCAACTCGAGAAGCCGATTTGCTACAGCGTCGCGAACTATGCCGCAGGTATAACCCCCAATGTAGTCGTGATCCTGGTAACGCTGGTAAAAGTATCGATGGTCGATCAGTTCGATGTGTCCCGTCCATCCTAATGGTACAGGCTCGTTACTAATGCAAGCCTTCACGTAGTCGCAATACCTGAAAAGTCAGAAATGTTCTAAGCATCAAATTAGTCGAACATACCACTCCCAATCAAACTTCGTAGTAGTGGACTTGATTCGCTGCGCAAACGCCACAGATTCGTTAGAGATTTCGATCAATTTGGGGACCGTTAAATCAAACTTCCTGTTCACGATGCAGTGGTTTAAGAGCAATGGGATGCAGCCCGTAACGTCTTCAACCTCATTCCGGGAATACCCTCCCATATCAATATCTTTATGCTGCTTCCACCACTGCTCCATTTCCGTCTAGTAAGGTTAGAAACCTCGTTATGACACAAATTTGACACTTCTTACCTCACTAAAACCGCCATAGACGCGTACCACATGGCTCGGGGTTTGATCTGTGAACACCTCGAGGTCCGTACAATTGGCAGAGCAACTGAGAATTGCTTTACCGGAAGAAGCGAAACCGATCACCCAGTCATATAGCGTTAGGGCCATCTTCCTATTTGGAATGCTATCACTCATCAAAGCATTCATCTGATCAACGACAAATATGACGTTCTGTTTATACCTAAAGAATTTCCAAATCTGGTCTTCGGTGTTTAGGGCCATAATCTTCTTTTGGGTGGTGAAATCGTCGACCCACGCGAACAGCATTGCCGTTTTGACGTAGGAAACAGGTTTATCGAGCAGGCACCGGCAATCCGGTAGATAGACGACCCGTTCATCTTGAGCAACAAAGTAGCAGACGAGGGCGGCTAGAAGGTGAGACTTCCCAAAGCCCTTGGTTCCATAGAGCCAGCATCTTCGGTAAACGTCACTCTCTCGCACTTTCTTTACCTCGTGGAGGAAGTTTTTGAACATCGTCCTCCCCATATATAGCCACTTTCCTTCAGCTATATCGGGCTCTTTAAATCGTTCTGGTATAGTACCGATAAATGGAAAGTCGAGTATGTGATTTAATGTGGGGTCGGAAAGTTTATCGACAGCTCCAGGAAGGGGATTGACGGAATCGGAATGCTGGTCAGGAGAGTTGTTCATCTGGGTAATTATATCCTTAATGGCCTTTCTTCGCTTATTCGCCTCAGTGGCTAATTGTGTCAGTATGACTTTCTCTTTCTCTTTATCTTTTTGACGTCTTTTTGAAATGGGCGACTCTTCAGATATCCCTGTTTCATCCCCTGTAACGACATTAGCTAGCTGTCGTATAGTACATTAAAGGCGTAATTACCTTTCCTCTTTCGGCCAGCTGTCTGGTTCGGTTGATCTTCTTGACACCGTTAGCTAGTGTCTAAGTTGTATCTACAGTCTAATCTCACTCTGTTTACTGACTTCTCCTGCAAGAGATGTAAGTTTCCAACAGACCCCAAGAGGGAGATGAGTTTGCTCGAAGAAGTCTAGATTTTTAGCATTTCCCAAGAAGACGGAGCCATCGATTTCTGCCGCTTCGAATGTCAAGGTGTTCTTGTCATTGCGGAAAATGTTTGGTTGTGTTTGCTTGATCCATTCGAGCAATTGCTCATGGTTCCAACTTTCCATCTCTTGGATTGTAGGGGTTCTCTTCTGGCCTTGCCCAGCTTCCTGATTAGAAGCGTTCATTATGATCGACGTGAAGGAGGGTTAAACGAGGGAGATGGGATGATGTGACGACTAGATCGTAGGTTGTGGAGAGTTCAAACTCGCCCATAGGTGCACGCGAACTGCCGTGGGACAAGCGGTCGCGAAATTGGAGGCGAGGATCTTCGATCTGATTTTGAGGGTAGAAGAAGCAACTAGTGTGGCATACACGGTAGAGAACTTGTCGTTGGTAACGAGGATGA